AAAAAAAATAAAAAAAATACTTATTTACTGAGAATCGCTAGATGAACTGCTTGAGGAATCTGTAGACATAACTTCCACATCCTCAGTTTCTTGCTTATGTGTATTTACAGCAACACTACCTTGTCCACTAACAGACATATGAATATCTCCTGATGGGTGCCAAGCAAACTGATTCGATTGCGAAACAGGTGGTTCTGAAAAAGCAATGGAAAATCAAATCTGTTGCTCTACTTATTAAAAATGATATATATATATTTATTTTTTACCTCCCGCAGGATGTCCTGCTCTATGCAAATCAGATGGCACAGGATGTGATCCAAGCAACTGACCATTTAAAGGCATATCACTTAATCGTCCTAGATAACCTAATCTCATTTCAATATCTGTAAAAAATATAAATTTTATGTAATAATATATTAATAGATATATTTTTTAAGCTAAGGAAAAACATATATAACACAAAAATCCTATCCATTCAAACATAAATGCCAAATACATACCCGTGGGATAAGGTCTTCTAGGATCACCTTGCTGCCATGTTAATGGTGCACAAATTGCATTGGTTGCACTTATTCTATGTGCATATTTAATAAGTTCTTCTGAAGGAACCGGCCTCTTGTTGGCACGTGCAATAGACTGTAATTTTTGCTTTGCTTGATAAATTGCAGTAGCTAAAATCTGTTCTGCTTCCTTCAACTGTCGCTGTAATTGCTGAATGTCCTGGTCTTGTCTCTCTACCTCAGCTTTCAAACCCTCCATCTTCAAATTGATTTTGGCTTGTTCTGCAGCTCGTTTCAATGTGGTCTTTAATTCATTATCCTTGGCTACCAATAATTCGGTTAACTGAGCATGCTCTGTACTTGAAAGCTTTTGAGGCTTTTGAGCAATTGTGTTCTCTATCATTTCTCTGAAGAAAGAAAATAACATATTTGTTGCAATACATAGTTTAAGAAAGCATAAATCAGAATGTTAATTATAAATTTCTTTAAAAATTCTTCAACATCTAGTTTGTACTTTTACACTTTGATTACATGTTAAGTAATACTTACTTTGCTATTAACTCAATATCATCTATAAGCGATAGTAAAACTTCTCTCGTGCTTCTACACGATGCCATTGTGATTTGTTGCTTAATAAACAAATTGTTCAAGAGACATGAACTTTTTCAACAAATGCTTAATACAACACTATACGTGTCAAACGTTTCACTTTTATTGTAAGTGATTAATAATATGGAACACATTCCATACTGTATGCTCTGATATGCTCCAGTTTTTTCGATGAGATTATTTAACGTGCCGAGTATTTGCTTAATTCCAAACCGTTGCAGAGAATCAAACTATTCAATTTGAATTGACACTAATTGACACTTTCAAAATATGTACAGTTTATATAAAATGTCATAGAACATGTCATAATTCATGAAATATGTATTTTAGAGATGTACTTTCTATATGCCGATTCTAATCACATTCGATTCTTTGAATTATTTATTCTGTCTAATTTATACTGATCGTTTAATTATGCGTATCAAGTGTTATATTCATATTAAATTTTTAAAATAGCTTGATCTGGCGATGTAAATGATATATAGAATGAATATGATATGGATTTAGTGAATGAGACATAAGGTATAAAATGAGCCTATACATACCGTTGTAACTAGCAACTCCCGCTCAAACCTGGGGTTTTTCGTATCTGCCAGCTTGGGTATCATACAAATGTCGTTTTGCTAACAAATTGGTTGAATGTTTTCGTCGCGTTCTATAATAGAGTGCTCACATTTCCCGATTATATCTTTGAATAACATTAATATGAACACGCTTGTTTGATTCCTCGTCGCATCATGTACATTAAACAGGTATCGGAAGCAAAATTATGTGACACCGCAATCTTTTCACATGTTGCGCTTTATTTCTTGAGGAACGCTTTAGCATGCTGACATTTCCCGTGTTTTTCTATTCGAACACCTAACGAAATCTTTAAATTACGAATTTTCATCGAGATTTGATGCAATTGTAGATTACTTCTCATTGTAAATTATCGTCGTATCTTAGGGGTTATTATCCTAATTCAAGTATCAATACTTTTCTATTGTAATTTTTGTGATGAATTTAGTGAGACCAGTGCAGAGAGAAATGATGTGTTTTGTTTATGCTATGAATTTCTGTCAAAATAGGTAATTATTCAAGGATTCAAGTCCTATCGTGAGCAGACAGTAGTTGATCCTTTCGATCCAAAACATAATGTAGTAGGTAAGTATCTGAAAATTTTATTCAATTATGCAAAGTGTTCATATATAGTCAGCATAATTATATGTTATAATTGGATATTTTCTTATTAGTTGGCAGAAACGGATCTGGCAAAAGTAACTTCTTTTATGCTATTCAATTTGTTTTGAGCGATGAATTCTCACATCTTAGACCTGAGCAGAGGCAAGCACTGCTGCACGAAGGAACAGGACCACGTGTTATATCTGCACACGTGGAGATTATATTTGACAATGCTGATGGCAGATTACCGGTAAAAATCGCTATATCTCAGTTGAAATTAAAATGTTTGTAAATGTTATATATTATATCTTACTTTTTTTCCACAGATTGATAAAGATGAGGTTTATTTAAGACGAGTAATTGGTTCCAAGAAGGATCAATATTTCCTTAACAAAAAAATAGTGACCAGGAATGATGTAATGAATTTATTAGAGTCAGCAGGATTCTCCAGGTCCAATCCTTACTATATTGTAAAGCAAGGAAAGGTAGCATATTTATATTTATGTGTATATTTTTAAATAGTATATTCATTGTATATCTACAATATATAATATACAATATATATAATTGTTTGCAGATAAATCAAATGGCAACAGCACCAGATTCACAGAGATTAAAATTGTTACGAGAAGTAGCAGGTACTAGAGTGTACGATGACAGAAGAGAAGAGTCAAAGTCCATTTTGAAAGAAACAGAAGGAAAGATAGAGAAAATTGAGGATTTTCTACGAACAATCGGTAATTAAAGATTACAATTAAGAAAATATGTAAAAGGTAAATGAAATATGAATAAAAAATTATTTTATTACAGAGGAGCGTTTGAAGACACTGGAGGAAGAAAAAGAGGAACTGAAAGAATATCAACGCTGGGACAAACAACGTCGTTGTCTAGAATATACAATTCACGAACGCGAACTCAAAGAAAATAAGAGAAAATTGGACGAACTTGAGGAATCTAGGGCGAATAGTGGTGCTGAGCAAGCAAGGTTAGGAGCAGAAGCAAAAAATGCGCAGGAGATGGTACGTACTGCTACAAAGAGGCTAAAAGAAGCGAAAAAGGAAGTGCAGACTGCTAAGGAGGAAAGAGACACTCTCAGGTAATATAAAAAAAAAATTATTGTGTACATTATGCTATTAGATGGCAATAGAATGATATATCAAAATATTTGTAATGCAGTGCGGAGCAGCAGCAATTATTAAAAGAGAAGACTAAGTTGACTTTAACTATTAATGATTTACTGGAGGAAGTGAAAGGTGATAATGATAGCAAAAAGCGTGCTCAACAAGAACTTGAAAAGTTAAAAGCCACTATTGCTGTTCGGGAAGACGAGCTAAGGGCTCTTAAGCCAGAGGTAAGAAAATATTTAAACTTTTGATGTATTTGAGATACAAGCATATTTAAATAAAAAACATGTTTGATTTTAGTATGAAAAAATGAAACGTGTCGAAGAGGAGTGTACTCGAGATTTACAATTAAAAGAGCAGAAACGTAAAGAGTTATATGCTAAACAGGGTCGTGGCAGTCAGTTCACCACTAAGGTAAAAAGGAAAAAAATATCATTTTTTAAATTAATGTGAGAATGTAAAAGATCCTTTTTTGTCTTTTCCTCGTAACTTAAACTGTATGTCTGAAAAACATTACAGTGAAATATTTTAAAGAAACTTATTTATCACAGGATGAAAGAGACAAGTGGATACAAAATGAGCTTAAACAGCTCACTAAACAGATAAAGGATAAAGAAGAACATCATAAAAAAATCAGTGAGGATTTAAAACGCGATGGAGAGAAACAGATCGCTCTAGAGAAGAAAATAGAAGATCATTCACGCGAGATGGAACGACAACGTGCATCAATAGATGATCATAATAAACAATATTATGAGTTGACAAAAGCGAAGGATCAGTGTCAAGCAACCCGAAAAGAGCAGTGCGTTCAATTCACATTAGATTAATTGCAATCTTTAAAATTTTACGTATTTTTAAGATTGTTGTTTTAAAATCTTTCAAACCTACAAAATAAATACATCAAATTGCAGCTATCGACAAGAGAGCGTATTGCAACTAAATTTATCTGGTCTAAAGGAAGATTTAGCAAAAGCGGATCAAAGCCTGAGATCTATGGCTGGCAAACCTATTTTGAATGGTAGAGACAGCGTGCGCAAAGTGTTGGATACTTTTCGGTAAGACTTATTTTTTTAACATGATAAAAAGTTTTAAAATCAAATCTTTTAGCACTTTTTTCAAATTCTAATACACCGATAATAACATTATCATAATAAATATCACATGTAATATGTAAGTAATAATTATATCTTGAATTTTTTAGGCAGCGGCAGGACATGGCTCATGAAGTGAGCAGTTATTACGGACCTGTAATTGAAAATTTCAATTGTGAGAAAAGCGTTTATATGGCAGTCGAAGTAACTGCTGGAAATCGGTTGTTCCACCACATTGTGGAAACCGATAAATTCGGCACAAAAATTTTGAAAGAAATGAACAATCAACGGTTGCCGGGCGAGGTAACTTTTATGCCTCTAAATAGACTTCACGTGAAAAACATTGATTATCCGAAAACTTCTGATGCTATACCTATGATCCACAAGTTGAATTATGATGCTAAATTTGATAAGGCATTAAGGTAAGAAAATAAAATACAAATACAAATTATTAAATTGAAAAATTCTTGCGACTTTGTGATGTATAGATTTTATATTAATATCATCTTGTTATTTTATACAGATATATATTCGGAAAAACTCTAATTTGCCGCAATCTGGAGGCAGCGACGACTTTGGCGCGAGATTCTGGTTTAGATTGCGTCACCTTAGAAGGAGACCAAGTTTCATCCAAGGGTTCCTTAACTGGCGGATATTTCAACACACTCAGATCGCGTCTTGAAATACAAAAAACAAGATCGGAATTAATGGCTCAGATTTCTACTCTTGAGACTCAATTGACAACACTTAAAGACGACATCAAAAAAGCGGATCAAAATATTAGCTCTTATGTTAGTGAAATGCAGAGAACCGAAACAAGGAATAGCAAAGCTAAGTAAGTGATATTTGCGATTTATAATTTCGATTTATAAATGTTATTTATTACGAATGTCTATATTTGATTATTGCAATATTTTTTATTGGTATAATCACTAATATGTTATTTATTTTAATTGAAATAGTAACAATTTATCTTTTATATTACAGAGATATATATGACAAAATGAAAGCAGAAATACGTCTTATGAAGGAAGAATTGAGCGCGATAGAAAGATATCGAACACCAAAAGAGAGAAGTCTTGCACAGTGCACATCAAGTTTAGAGGCAATGCGCGCGACTAAAGATGGTCTAGAGAGTGAATTACATCAAGAACTTATGGCCCAACTATCTGTCGCCGATCAGCATCAGGTGTGCATAAAAAAAAGGGATTAAATTGTGATTGAATCGGTCTTTAAAAAAAAACCTATATCTGCTATTTTTTATTTTAATTAAAATTTCACTCATGATATCGCTTTTTGTAGGTTGATACTTTAAATGATGACATACGGCGCTTAACGAAGGACAACAAAGAAGCGTTTGCGAAACGAATGCAATTAGAAGCAGAAAAGAATAAATTAGAAAATTTATTAACAAACAACTTGGTGAGAAGAAAGGATGAGCTAGTTCAAGCTTTGCAAGAGATATCAGTCGAGGATCGACAGCGGCAGCTCGACTCGTCGAAAACCCAATTGGCAGATATCGAAAAGAGATTGGTGAAAGTAAACGAGGACTTCAAAATACAGAATGAAAAAGTGACCAGTGCTATGAAGAAAGTAAGTTCACAAATATTTTGCTGCAATTGTGTACGTTTAAACGAAAGCAATCCTTGATTCATGCTCTTATGTATGTTTAGCAAAAAGCGGAATCTTCTGAAGTCGAGAAATGGAAGGTAAAGGAAAAAGAAGCACAGGAGAAAATAGAAGCGGACGCGAAAGACTTGGAGAAATTAGCAAGCAAGCTAAATATCCTGCAACAGAAAATAGTGGAATGTACACAGAAAATCACTGAACTCGGCGCGTTGCCCAGCCACGAAGCTTATTCTAAATTTAATACAATGTCTACAAAACAACTCTTTAAAGAAATGGAAAAGGCAAACAATCATCTAAAGAAATACAGGTGCATATTTTAATAGCAAGTTAATTAAATATCAACAATTGTAGATATTAAATTAGAAACTATATTATTCGTATATTTATTATTATTTCCAGTCATGTAAATAAAAAAGCCTTGGATCAGTTCATGTCCTTCAGTGATCAAAAAGAAAGATTAGTGAAACGAAAGGAAGAGTTAGACCGAGGCGACGAGAAAATAAAAGAACTTATGTCAGTGCTCGAACAACGCAAATGTGAGGCGATACAGTTTACGTTTAAGCAGGTATGTCTGTTTTGTGATGTTTAAGAAAACGTGGAAAATTAATACTGATGTAACAACTTGTCTTGATAATATGTTTTAAAGCACAATTTTATGCAGCAATATTTTTCTTTAAGGTGAGCAAGTATTTCAGTGAAGTGTTCAAGAAACTTGTACCTTCGGGACATGCGCAATTAGTCATGAAAACTGCGGACGGCGATGAAGGGGATGACGGAACAGCGGAACCATCTGATTCCGACAGATTCATTGGCGTTGGTAAGGAAATAAAATTTTTAGTTTGAGTATCCTATACTGAAAGAAAGCTTGTTTAGATATTTTATTGCAAGCAAAAATGAATTTAAACTACAGCAACGTTTTTTATTTATGTAAATATATATGTTATAGGACGCAAAATACTTATGTATTTATTGTTTTCAGGTATAAGAGTGTCATTCACGGGTCACAGAGCCGAAATGCGAGAGATGAATCAACTGTCCGGTGGACAGAAATCACTCGTGGCATTGGCACTAATATTTGCGATTCAAAAGTGCGATCCTGCTCCGTTTTATTTGTTTGATGAAATCGATCAAGCGTTGGACGCGCAACACAGGAAGGCAGTGGCAGATATGATTCACGAACTTAGTTCAGATGCCCAATTCATCACCACGACATTCAGGTAACATAATGCAACAAGTAATTTTGTAACGAGCAGTTGGTAATTATTTATTATTTTTAAATGATTAAATTTTCATTATAATACAGTAATGTGAAAAATAAAGATATGTTTGTTTTGCAGACCGGAATTATTGCATCATGCGAATAAATTCTACGGAGTAAAGTTCAGGAATAAAGTTTCACACGTCGAGTGTGTGACGCGAGAAGAGGCGGCTGATTTCGTAGAGGACGATACAACACATGGTTAAATATATAGTATATCTTATTTATATAAAATATCTGATCATTGGAAAAAAAAATCATTTCCTTTTTTATGAATCCGGAAAAGATATAAATCCGGATATATATCGGTCGATCGGTTAAGTTTATTTTGATCTTTGTTAATGATTTTATTATCGATAATTTTTGCAAAAACTATACACATTTAATATACACATATATGAGTATCTTCTACATAAATTATTAAGAAAAATTATTTCCTTTTTTGTGAATCCGGGATATATGTATATATACGTGATATATGTGATATATGCATGTCGATCGGTTAAGTTTATTTTTTGATCTCTATTGATGATTTTATTTTTGCAAAAATTATTGATACACATAAAATTGCATAAAGAGAGAAAAATAATCATTGATGATTTTACATTCAGTATATACACATTTGAGTATCTTCTCCATAGATTATAATAGTTTATAACATGTCAAAGATGTATCTCACACATTACGAATTTTATTATGGGGTAAAATATAATTTTTGATAAAATATTTCAAAATAACAGTAGAAATTTGTGGTGTAAACTCTTTTTATATTTAAAAATTTTATAGAATAAAAGCAATATATGAGAAGCACAACATTGATTTGAGAATGGATCGACCTTCTGACAAAGTCTTAGAATAATTCTGCTATCCAGATTAATTTTTAAACTGAATTAGTTTAACAACTGGATTTAAGGAATGTATTAATAAGGACAATAAATATTCTCAAGTAGAAAATTTGCTTTAAAAAGAAGTTTATATATGTTTATTCGAAGCATTCCTTGTATTATACTTGCTGGGCGCCTTAATTTGACTTCGCATTCATCATATAACTAGTATCAGTAAGAACTAATAATCAATAATAGTTAAGCCACTGATAAAATAAAATTATGTGCACATATACAGAAATAATTTCATGGAGAATTTACTATTATAAATGATTAATATTTCTATCAAATAATTCTACACAATTTTTATCTAAAACGTAGCACTATTACTCTCAAGGTAATGATATTCACGGTTCAGATATTGGAGCAAGTTTTTTTTTTTATGTAAATATTACACAAGAGTTCACAGCTCCACAATTACACTGCATTTTTGTCACAAAGAGTTTCACATCTGTATATATTTGTAATTGGTATACGTACGATCACCATAACAAGTCTTGTAATGCAAGTCATCGATGACACTAAAGGCCACTGCATCTGCACGAAAGAATCATGTGTACAACGTAACGTCTACTTCGAATGGTTCTTTGAACACAGATTTTAAGAGCAACACGATGATAAGTATCCCATACGGCTAATGTATCTGCAATACACGAATGCGAATGTCCTTAACATTAAAGGAACTTGATAGCAAAATGTTCTTTTTTTTTTTATTACAATTATGTTGTATACAGTTCCTTACATCTTCAATGGATAGCTATGAGACCAGATTCCAAAAGTTTTTGCAATTTTGCAGCTATATCTGGATTCTTCAGGTGGCTGTAAAGAGGAAAAAATTTATTAACATCTGCGTTTTGTCACAAAAGAGGAATAAATCCATCAGAATAGGAGCAAAAATATAATAATTCTTATTTTGCGGAAAACGGAGAAAACATTTAATAGTAACAATATATATAATACAGAGATAATCTATATCTTTTCTTGAATAAAATAAGAGAACAAAGAATTACTTTCAGAATGTGATTGTTCAAAAGTTAACACGAAATCGATCTGTCTTCGACATTTTCGTGATAAAATTGAGCGAGGTAAGTAAAATTTATGTAAATGTATTACTTACTCTTGTAAAGCTCTTGGATCGCTTTGCATTTGTTCTAAGATCAACCGCATCGCCGGATCCCGCAATATAGTCTGGATCTCCGGATCCGCCATCGCTCTCTTCCTGACTTCCTCCGGATTGGAACTAACGGACACAGCGCAGGAACGATAGCCTTCTAACGCTTCGCTGTTCTGTGGATCCAATTCCAGTGCCTTCTGGTACGCCGACACGGCTTTACCCTGCTGCTGCATAGCCTGCAGAATCTTTCCTTTTCTAATCCAGCCCTTGATGAATTTCTGATCTAGCTCGACCACCTTTTCGCAATCTTTCAAACCGAGATCGAACGCCGCCAATTTAGTGTAACACGCCGCTCTGTTGCTGTAGTACTTGGGATCGTCCGGGTTTCTCTGGATCGCCTCGGAATAATGCCTTATAGCTGCGGGGTAATCGCCATCTTTGTACTTTTGATTTCCCAGTTCCTTCTCCTCCTCAGCTTTCACCGGGTCGATGTAAGCTTTCCTCTCCTGCTCCCTAATTATTTTATCTATGTCTGAAAGTAAGGTTTTAACCTGCGGCGTTCTGTGCTCAGACATGGCCTTTTCAAAATAAACCTTGGCCTGCTTCCAGTTCTCCATCTTTTTATAAGCATGACCGATTCTCGTGAACGCTTTCGCTATCAATTTGAAATCCGCCCTGTTCTCCCTACCGACCTCGATAGCCTTGCTGCACTGATCGATACATTTCTCATATTCTTTTTGCTCGAAGTACACCGCCGCTATGTTTAGCAGATAAATGATTTCCGTGGAATCTAATTCCACGGCTTTATTGTAGTGTTCCAGAGCCTCCTCGAAGCACTTCTTCTTGTAAGCCTCGTTACCGAGTTTCTTCTCCTCTAACGCTTTTCTTTTCTCAGGCGGAAGATTATCCTCTTCCTTCTTCTCGGGTTTCGTTTCCGATTTAGATTTTGAAGGTTCTGATGACTTCATCGGCTCGGTTTCCATCGGTTCTCCCTGCTCAGTCATTCCTAATAGTACACTAAGGGTGGTGAGCACTCTGGTGTCTTGGAGCCTACAGCTGAGACTCTGTGGATTGTTCCGCAGTTCTTGTAACAGCTTCAAATATTCAGGATCTGATAGATATGCTTTTGTTCTGGGATCATTGGCTAACTTCAACCAAATATCAGGCGCGGTAAAGGGATTGCTCATAGAAGCTCTTTTCAGGGCCTTCACCTCAATCAGACCGTTCTTAAGTTGGGTATTATTGGGGTCACATTGCAAACCTTTCTCATAAGTCTCGATAGACTCATCGTATCTACACAGATAAGCCAGAGCACTGCCCTTGCGTGAATAACCCTTTGCCCAGTCTGATTTCAAGTTAACAGTCTTCTCTGCGTCTTCCAATGCCAGTTGATATTGCTTAGCCTTTGCATATGCTGCCGAACGGTTACTGTAGAGTACATGATTGTTACTGTCCAAGGCAATGGCTTCTGTGTAACACTTGATGGCTTCATCGAATTTGTCTTCTTGCAAAGCAGCGTTTCCTTTGTCTTTTAACAAAGCCACCTATAAAACAATACATTTCAAAGATATAATATATAATATACACAATGCGTCTCGTAAATATTAATTTAAAAAACGTAGAATCTCTTTCATTAATCGTTGAGTAACGATATTGGAGTCAGTTTCATTTGCTTGGTGTAATTGGAGTAACACGTGTTCCAAGTAAAAGTGGGAACAATCTCGAAGGAATAATTGTTATCTTTAGGGCGAAGCAACGTGCACGATGCCGCGCGTCTCTCAGTCGCGCGCGATAATTCATGGCTGCTGCCGTGCTCCACTTACCTGATCACTCATTATGCAGGCCGAGAATATTAGTTTTTATCACGTTTCCGATGTCTTCTTCGTATGAAAGCTTTGCTGGACGATGACTCGCGGAAATCTTCGGTAATTCTCTAGCGTGCCACTCAGATACGTGCCGGCGCAGATTTCAGAAAGCTCTAGAAACGGACGAGTAGCGGCCCCTCACAGTCTCATCGCGTAACTACTTCTCGAATGCTGCTTAGCGATTGTCCATGTATAATTTGCATATACGTAGGTGAATAAATAATGATGGAAACAAACGTTCTAGCATATTCGAAAATGGCATTGAACGTTTGTGTGCAAATCTCGTATTTGCATGCGTAGATAAGACTCGCAAATTTTATACATGATTTACGCATCACACAATGTCTGCGATTCCCTGCAAACTTCTGATGCGAAAAAAAAATCTGATGCAAATCGTGGCGTTAGCTTAGGCGCAAAATTAAAAAGAATATATTACACCGCGTATTTGCGCGTGTGAACATTATAGTTATCTATATAATCGTTATCTATATAATCTTAATCTCATTTAAAAACTTTAAATTTATATTGTATATATTGTAGCTTTGATATGTTTGAATTATCAGAATTTCCCATATTACAAAAACAATTCGCTTTTTAGAGATATTGCGGTCACGGAATATTTTGCACATTGCTAAAAAGAAAACCCCTAATTATATTTTTACAAGTGAAAAACAAAAGGAAACAATCAGGAAAATGCTGCAAAGTTGGTAAATCCTGATGGATATGACACAAACAGATAAGAAGAATCGACGATGGAAAAATATTCTTGTATGAAGCATAATAATTATTTGAGAAAAATAGGTAATATATGTTCCTTTATATTGCTTTAACTCGCTTGAGGCAATCGATCTATTTAAGATTTTTTACAGACGCGCGTCTTTTTCAAGTAATTCCAAGTTGTATGCAACTATAATTATTCCGCGTGTGTTCGGAAACACGCTCAGACGAAAAAGCCGTCGTTTCTTTGGTATCCAAATATATCCCGAAACTTGTGCGGGCTGTCTCTCTCCTTCTGTTTCTCTCCGCCTCTGTGGATGAAACTCTCTCAAAAAGGAATAAGTCCGCGAGCTTCTTGGAATGCCTAGACCATTACACGAAACTCAAAATAACACACGACGGACGGTCCTTGCTCTACATTTTTTCGTCGCCGTTTTAGATTTAACTGTGTCGTTTCATTCGCGTCTTACGCGAATGCAAATATTATGTCTGCCAAGACTGTCTTATATTTTTTATATTAATAAGTACAAAAAGTTTCTAATGTCTCTGCAAATATGTATTTTTATAACGGAGAAATATCTTTCTCTGATGAATAATTAAAAATATTAAATATCGTGCATACAAATTTACGTTATATTTCTCGACATATAATTCTTTACAATGTAGAAAAATATGCGAACAATATATATACCTGAAAGACATTCTTTCCTCTGTCTACACCTATATATCTCGTATTTGCGACGGAATTTCCAGATTTCCTTATAGGAATGTATTGACCAATCTCCGAGCAATACGACTCGTGTAGTCATTGTGCGATAAATAATGCCGGACAATCGGCAGAAAAAAATGTAGAGAAAAAAAGATAGAGAACGGTGGAATTTGTAACATGTTTTTTTATTAAAAATAATTATAGCTTTTACATATGAGTATAACAATAATGATATTATCGTTGCTTGTAATTATTAATATATTTGATAATGATAGACTTTATAAGGAAGATGACTATATACACGAAATGCTGAAAGGGATTTTTGTATGGAAGCAATCTTATATTACTAAATGAACACTGATCCAGTTAAGGTCCTTCTTTTCTCTCGCTACGCTAATATATAAATACACACACACACATATATATATATATATATATATATATATATATAATATAATATATATATAATACAATTATCTAACACATTAACTAAATTGATTGAGTGCTAATACATTCTTGAACAACAATACATTGTAGATGTATGTGTGCACTTTTCTTTGATCTAAAATATACATTACACCGGGCGCTAACTCTGCCCTACGATTTGTTAAGAGATCCTTCTTCACGAGTATTCGTTCGGCGAATGCGAATTTGTTTTTACAACATACTTTTTTATTTACACCACAAAAGTACCGCATTCGCTAAGAGCATGTCTCATTCTTGCGTCATCATACATTCCATAATCATATCTTCCTCAAATCACATCTTCCTCTCATACATGGATTCTTTAATCAACATCGTAAAATCAATATTTGTATTGAAATATGAACTGTCTCTTATATTATCAAGATATCTCATATTATTTTGAAATATTCTATACATTTCGGCACGTTCGCCTGCTATAAACGGTTAATAAGGGAAAAGGACTACTAGGACGGCCCGTGTTCACATGTCGTTGCTTCGTTCGGAATCGATTATTCGTTAATCGCATATGAGTTCGTGTTTGAAAGTTTTAATTTCTGTTATTCGTTTACCCTTTCGTTTACCCCATATCGCTGATGAAAATAACGTTATAAAAATAATATCGTCGACTCAAAATACATTTCAGTGATTTCACATTATATAACACGTATCAAAAAAGTAATTATTTAAAATTATTTAAAATTCAATTCTTTATCCATTCAGTTAACAACCCTTTTGTTATCTTTCATCTTAATGCACTCAATGGAATATGATGACTAATCCCAAGTGTGTCAATATTCAAACTGCAATTTGTGTCGCGATCAAGTTTAGCAAAACATTTGCCTTGAGTCTTATTTTCAGGCGACAATTGTCTAAATTTGTTCCCATTGATTAAAGTAATCAAATTTGACAGAGAATTTTATCTGATTTTCATTTTCTGGTGGCGATTGCTTGCTAAATTTGCCTCGTTGATGAAAATGATTAAGCCTAAAATTCGTAGAATTATGATAATCTCGTTACATTAATGCAACTCAGGATACGTGCTTCTACGTACGCGTATTGTATAGAATACGCTCTCTTTCTATGCATTTTGTTCAACAATCACCTGATGTCTGCTGTTCATTCATCAATTTAATCGACATATCCACTTGTCAATGACACTTCAGACTCTCACCCCGACTGCGTTTTGCATCTTGATCGCAGGCAAGTAACTTGCTTCTTCGTAATTCCCATCGTTCGTTATCTCGTCGTCACTGTTCTCGGAATCAGAGTCCGGCAGCGGTTGTGGTTTTGCGCCTAATCGCACCAGTTCTCTAGCGAGCTGGCTGTCGATGCACAATGCCAGCTGGTAGGCCGTTAAACCGTTGTACGTCTGCGTGTCTAGACTGGGCTTACATTCTTGCAGCAGGAAAGTGACTACTGATCGGCATCCACGCTCCATCGCGATATGAAGAGCAGTCCTTCCCGCCAAACATTCTCTCGCTTCGAGATCGGCGCCGAGGCGCAGCAGAAGACGCACCAGGTTCACGTGTCCGTTAGCGGCGGCCACGTGTAAGCAAGTCTCACCTGTAATCCGAACAAGAAAACTTTCAGTTCTGAAGTCTGGAATAATTGCTTAACGAATGAATTGTTGGAAGATGCGTTTTGTTAAACAATCTAAGCACCTTAGCTGGAATTAGACTAAAATTGTCACTTGCGTAAAAGCAATTGAAAACTTGGCGAATGAAAGCTTCTCAAGTGCAAGTTATTATTCATAATACAGAATACTCTAGCGACACTCTATATTTATATATCTTTCTAGGTATCCCACATTTGTCGCATGTCACTGACTTCCCCGAACAACTGGATAACCGCCGGCTGACGCCTGATTTTTCGAGTTTTCCATCATTTCTCCTGGTCAAGACACGAGGGTGCACACGTCAGAGTGATGGGACCGAGTCACATGCCTGGACTTGTCGTGAGATATAGATAGAACTAGGAAGACGTGTGAATCATTGTCGTCGGAGATTTTGCCGGCGTCCCGCGGTCCAAACTAGGCCCGCGCCGATCAAAGCAACTGCTAAAATTAACCGCGCCGCATTACCAGTTGCATTGGCGGAATTTAACAACATAACTTTATATATACATCACATTTCGTCGATATCGACCGATCGCTGCTGGCAGAAATATCCTCATTGAACAGATCGCTACGATTATTCATAAATATAGTCGCGCGTGGTATACCGTCGCCTTTATTTTTATTACGATCGATAGAAATACGATAAGATCGACTGTAACGACACTGAAAGAGTTGCTCAATCTAAATACTTATAGATTTAGGATGTATCAATGTCAACGAGATGGTTAATTTAAATCATAAATCTAAACTTTTCAAGAGTTTAAACGATGCACGCTATCGTATAACGTGTAAGATTTAAATCCCTTTGCTTAAAACACGAAGCACGATAGTGCGAGTCAATGAAGAAGAAAGATCAATTTTTTAATGCTGGAAGTTCGACAGAAGCTATTGCTGCCGACGCCGTTGTGGGGTTTTCCAACTGAGCCGAGGCGAGGCGGGAATATCGAGCAGCATGCAAATAGTCCTACAGGTATTTTTAAATATCAGAAACATCTGCTCGCTCTCTCTTCTGTCACTACGTCGCGTCGCGACATCACGCCGCGTGATGTAACGCACGTATGCACGCAAGCATAGAACCATATCGAATTCCATATCATGAATGTAAAAGATTTCATCTGCACTTTCTTCCTCGCGTTGAACTATTCAGAAAACATTTCATGTGCTTTTACCGACGAGATGTGATAAGCTTTGTAAATATTGTCGTATCTTCATCGACGGAAATAAAAATAAAAACTGTTGACAAGTAAGTCGGTTAGTTCCACATTTGCACTCGCAATTACTTGCTAAGAAATCGCAGTAAAATTACTTTTGCAGAAACAACAATTTTAGTTCTAATTCCAGTTCAGTTGATGCGCGTAGCATGTTTAGATCGCTGTTACAGAATATGTAAACAATTATTTATTTTCAGAAGTTATGATTTCCTCGAAAAAATATAAATGCAACACAATTATTTCGAATGAATCATCATTAATTCATCATCATTAATTTCTCGATCGCGGTAGCAAGCAAAAAACGTGAAAATTACTTTGTTTATGAAATAAAGAGATGAAGATTTTGTTATTGTCCTTAATTATCGATCCTTAATTATAAATTCAGATGAACATATGCAAATTATCTAACGAAACGCCCGTGCAAAGAACTGTGTTAATAAGCTCGCAATTTTGCCTTCGGATTCAATGAATGATCTAAAAGAATTGGACGTGCTTACGTGCGTTATCCGGATCGCGCAAACTTGCAACGGATGACGTTATGCGGGATTTCCAAGACTTTTAAAAGGTCTGCGAACATTTCTCGATGAACGACCGCCGCCGATCGTGATTTTCTGCCTCTAGAGAGATAAAATGGAAAGCACCGACCACCCGGTAAATTCTGGTGCGACGATCGGAGAAGGGAAGAAGAGAGTCCGACAATGGGAAAGTCTTGTGACTAAACCGCGACCGTTTTAAGGAAAGCTAAATTTCTCTGAATTGCATACGCATTCGCACACACCACACATATACACCGTAGAAACGCATTCGCTCTTTGTGACGTATAATTTTCCAAAAGAAATCAAATAATATGATTTAAAAAAATGATATGATAAAAGAATAAATCGAGTAACTAAAGTTATTCTTAATTGATCGCGTATTCGTCGAAGAATCTGTCGAAGTAAAAATTAATTTTGTTGAAATCAATTATTCATTATATTCAGCTTTATGTCTTTGTATACTAATTTTTATTCGCGAGTGCATGGAAACAATAAGATTTGCATACTAGTGACACGTGTCTTCTCTCGAACGCCCTATTTTGCATAAGGATTTGATTCCATAAGTTGCTTCTGCTTATATTTGATATAATCGTTTCTATTTAATTTCTAATTTTAATAAAAATAACGTGGCCATTAATGATTGCAACTGGATAATGAGCGTATTCATATCCGTTTAGGAAATCCTTGTCATTATGACGAAAATTCACGTTCAAATATGTATGTAATAAATAGTGTAGCGCAACCACAAATATAAAAATTCCAAGGATAAAAAAAACTGCGGCTTTGTGGTATTCTTCAGAACATATCGTGTTATTAGTCATTTCATTAACTAACAACAAAAAGTCCGAATGTATCTTTTACAGTATTTAAATTTTCAGTTTAAATTCTCCTTAATTTAGTTGCGGATATTAGATTTCTATTAAAATCGAGTTTACTTAAAATACAATGAAGAATTTAATCTTTCTCCTCACTTCTGAGATTTATTTTGCAGAAAATTTTTGTTCTCAGTTTTTTTTGCATTTTGACGTCAACAAAAAAAAATTATTCTGAATTAAAAAAAAATTATCATTAAAATATGACACATGGATGTAGGACAATCTGTATAATAGCTATACATACAACTTTTGAAATTCAAATTACTTCCATCAAATCAACAATTTTTTTGCAAAAAGAAGCAATGTTTTTTTGAAACAATGGATCTTGCGGACGTAAAAAAAACGCAATTCTTGATGAAATCATAGGAAACCCACATGGTTCCATAAGTGGTTGCGGTTCACTATGTAAGCTATACACATGATTTATACCTACGCTAAAGCTAAAAGCAGTTAGGATTTTCCGCTGCCATCTCAGCGTCCTTTGTGCACGCGGTCACGAACGTGGATCATCTTTCCTCGCATTAACATTACGATGATTAGTGCGCGGTTATTATGTTGTAACCTTCTAAATAACTATCGTAATTGCAAGAAAAGTCGTAAGTATCATTAACATTAAATTACGTAAGACACGAGACGGGATGAATAACTTTTCGTTGTTCTTGCTAAATCTTTTAGTTGCGAACATTGTTCTGCCCTAATAAAATAAAGTTTTTTTTTAATCTCTAAAAAGAACTTTTGCTCTTTTTCGTTTCTGTCGTTTATCTCACTACAGACTAGTGACTACTTTTTCGAAAAGCTCAGCAATATTTGTTGAATATTTACCGATATAATTGCGTTGCTCCAAATTTTGAGGTAAAGCGGGTACTTTTTGTCCAGGCCACAACTGATTTCTCTCCATCGGGGATAATGGATCCGTAAGAGCCTTGGCGCAAGTTAGATCGCCGTTCGCACAAACTAGATGAAGAGGTGTGTTCCCACGGAAGTCTCTTACAGACGGATCTGCGCCTGCCAGGATCAGTGGCCTGATTATCAGAGGCTGGTGCATCATCACTGCTAAGTGCAGAGGCGATTCCCAGTCGTCATTCAGGATGTTCAACCAGCTCGGATGAGGTGCTATCCTTATCAGAATGATAGCCGCCTGTACGTAGCCCTGCATGATCGCAATGTGCAACTGCCTGTATAAACAAATATGTTACGTAAGAAAAATAAAGAGTCGATAAGGGAATTTGGAGTAACACGATTCTTGCTTATTAACCTTTAATCCAAGAAAAATATTGCATGATTATTATTTTAATGTACTATTTCATTTTTTATTTATATTTTTCAGTTTTCGTATCCTTTCTAAATATGTATTAATTTTTTAGATAGCAACAAAAGTGGCTAAAAAAAATTAATAAGAAATTATAATGTATTAAAATTTGAAATTTTTTTCTTAAAATTCTCTTAAAATATTGTTTCTAAATAAATGGACATTTCTCTTTAAAATTTCTATGTGCGTCACTGTATAATTTACCGTTGTTGATGTTTAGTTGAATTCTTCGAAGATGATTCTTATCAGAGAATAGCACTTGTTT